CTCTTTCCCCCACACACACTTACCTGTTGGGGTGGGTATCAGTGTCTGTGTGTGCCTCTGCGTCTGCATGTCTGTGTCTGCATGTCTGTGGGTCTGGGGGGCTATTGTGAGGGGCATCAGGAGGGCTGTTGAGGCTGAGGGGTGGGGGGAGTATGTGGCACCAGCAGCACTGGGGAGGGGCCCTCAGGGGTGTTTAATTTTTATCATGGATTTGGGTTTTGAATCAGAGAATATGTAATTTTTAATCAGAGAAAATCAGGATCCCTGAGCATGACATCACCTCTATACTGTGTTTTGGTGTGGGGATGGGCATGGGATTTCCTATTTCCTGGTTCTGGAAGGGACTCCAGAGCCCTACGTCTGTACAAGGCTGAGGCTCCAAAATGGTTCCTTGCATGCCTCTCCTATTCCAGAACCAGAAGACTGGAAGCCAAGTGCACAAGACAATACTCGCAGGATTTCTGACCTGCTTTCCCCCGTTGGGGCATCTTTTGAAGCACTCTGGTTGGTTGGGGGGGTGGGGAGGGTCATGGCAGGGGGCTGTGGGTCTGTTATTGACTGAGGCACTCTATATTTGAAGCACTTTGAAGTGGAGCAACATTTGAAGCACTTAAGATGCTACGTCTGCCCAGAGCCTCACCCAATCGACCTAGGTAATTCATTTTACCTACCAATGTAATGAGGTATTATTGGTAATAACAACAACATTGATTGGGTAGTATTCATAAAAAACTGTCAGGTGAGTCTTGATCTTGTCAACTGCAGACCTGGTAGAAGATGGTTTCTGTTACCCTGCTTTCTTCTAAGGTGAACACAAGGAGCACTGAACTTCTTCATGATATAAGATAGCAGAAGACAATTAAAGTTATCTTCTAGGGCAATCAACTGCATGGCAAAGTCTGAGGAGAATTAAGTGTGATCAGAGGGGTATCCCTGGGACTCAGTGTAAAAAATCAAGGGCTTTTGGAAAAAAAAAAATTTTGGCAAACTATTTGTGTATCAAAAGAACCAGAAACCCAGCAGGAAAGCAAGAGATGCTGCTGCAATAGTAGCCCTGAGACAAAGCAGGAAGACAGAACTCTTTGATACACAGGACAGTGTGGAAAGAAAGATTTCTGAGCAAGAAACTGGAAGATGCTGTTTATTTATACTGTGTTCAAGAAAACAGGGCCTGGAGAGAGACCTGGGTTGCGTTGCCTCAGGCCCCTCCCCCACCGCCTCGCTGGCCACCGGTATGGAGCTAATGGCATGGGAGGCCACCGGTATGGAGCTAATGCCTAGGTTCCAGAGCCCCACACAGCTGTTTGCAGCCTCCCGGTTGCAGCCAGCCCCGGCTCTGGGTAGCTGCTGCCAGCTGGGAGCCCGGGCTGCTCCCAGCAGACAGCTGGGATGCTGCAAGCCCTCCTGGGAGCATCCCAGGCTCCATTGCTGGCAGCAGCTACCCAGAGCCGGGGCTGGCTGTGGCGTGCTGAGCAAAATGGCCTCGCGTGCCATGCTCAGTGCACATGCTGGGTGTTGCTGACCCCTGGTTTAGTTACTTCTTTACTCTGAGCCTGATGTAAAACCTGTATGTGGAGAAAGGTACGTATTTTTAAACAAACCAGTGCCTATCTAACAGGAATACCTGAAGCTGCTTTATGAGATAGGCTTAGGAAGTAGTACTCACTGTGAAAACTTTTTCAGGCTGACCACGAGCTCGCATGTTTGTATCATGAATTTGTTTGAGAATCATCCAAGCTTCATCATGTTTTCCAACCTAAAAATTTGACAAATATTTATGTTAAACCATGTACTAAATCTGTTTAGTAATTTTAATTTCTGGTGCTGTGGTGTTATGATAAGACCCCAGAAATCATTTAGATTGGAATAGGAAATTCTAAAGAATGTTTTGCAAGATTTACCTCCAGCAAGAACCTTGGACTTTCTGGCATGAACGTGAGTGCTACCACAGAGCAGACACAGGGCAGTGCACAGACGATCACAAATACTCGCCAGCTGTGAAACTGATAGGCAGATCCCATACTGAAACTCCATCCTACAAAAGGAGAAAAGCAGGCATGAAGCAAAACAAAGAGTACTATGTACATGTTATAGTCTGGAACTTCCAAGTAGTGGGAAATAGGTCTACACCCAAGGTTGGCCTATTTGACTTTTTTTCTTTCCACAAATATTCAAGGCATCAAGTTTTATTTTCATAAATACTCAGAGAATATGACCTTACAATTTATCCACATGAGTAGCAACACTGGAACTGGTTTCTGTAATGTGGGATAAGAAGCTGCATGACACAAAGAAAAGAAGATTCCTCAAACCTCTTGCCGTAATCTTTGAATAAAGACAATCAGATGAATTGAACAGGGATAGTATTGCAGCCTTCACAAGCAGGACCTCCCACATACCTCAGGAGAATATGATGGGAAAATTAAAGTTTAGTTCAGTAGCCAGCCAACATATTCAAAGCCAAATGGCTTCTTCAAGGCTTCCTTTTGATTATTTATAAAAACTACACAAAGTAAATGAGAAAACAGGAATGATGACACAGGACTTATGAATATTGAGTGTTTTATTCCTACAGCAAGCTATTAATAATTAATTCAAAACTGCATTTAACAAATGCATGATAAGACATTCATAAAAAATATATCTGAGTCAATTGTAATGTAGAAAATGAGTAGAAAAAGGGGGTTAAAATCAGAATGAATTACTTATGGTGAACTGGAATTCAATTTCCAACCAAATTAAGTTACTTTCAACACAGTTTTTGCATAGGGCCAGAAGTGTTTAATATAGGATTTCCACTCATCTACAAAAGTGAGTCTGTCTCAAGTTATTTCATTTTTAGGACTGGGCAAATCATTGAGAAGTTTCTTTTGATGGTGTTCACCACTCTGCTTTTAATAGAACTGAAAGATAAATAATAGTTATTTTGATGTAAGATTCTAAAGTCAGATGAATCAAAAGGCCTACAACTGTGTACTAATGCTAAAGATGATATATTTTATCTATAAAGTGAAGATATTAATGTTGCCAATCTCAGCATGAGTACCAAAATGGAATGCATTACAATACAATGTATGATGTATAAATGTTTTATAGTGCATAATTCTCTTCTCATTCAATTGCAAAGCACCTTATAAATGACTATCTAAAACATCAGAAATGTCAAATAAACACCTTTAGTCGAATTTACTGAGGATCACAGTCAGTGTTTAAAGTCATCCAGAATCAGAATCTTTAATACTGAATAAAGACGAGGAGGAACAGGAAGAATGCAGGGGGAGGGCGGGGGGGAAATACAGAAACAACCTTCCTTTCACCTAAGAATCAATCTTGTAAATTAATCCTAAAAGAAATACCTAAGTACTATGTAGTATAATAAGAGAAAGCAGAAATAATCAGAAAATACAGCAGAACCATTTGCTGAAATACTTTGAGAAGACAAAAGGAAATTCTGAAAAATGTCATATGAAATTGCAGGTCAAGGTCAGTGTTTAATAAATCAGGAAAAGACAACACCGTTTGACTGGAGAGGAGCAATGACAATTCTATGCTTAAGAAAAAGAAACAATTCAATCTAAGCAACTATGAGCCTAATAATCTGACCTGTATATATACACAGATTCAAAACACATTTTAAAGAAAAAGAAAATTAAAGACACAAATGAGTAGAGAGAGGTACTTGGCTGCATTAGGCTGAAGATATGGAGAAGGCAAGGAAGGGTGGCACCTTACAGACTAACTCATTCAGGGAGGCATGAGCTTTCATAGACTACAGTTTACTTGAAGGCTGTCCAGCTTCTAGGTAGGTAAGGGCCTCACGCAGTGTGGGCCTTGCCAACAGAGGCCACACCAGTGCTGACCATGGGCGGCCACGGCATTGCTCCGTGGCCTGGGGCAGGAGCAGGAAATTAAAGTTGAGGGAAGAAGAGGGAGCCAAGAAACCCTGGCTGCAGCAGCAGCAGAAGCAATAGGGGGAGTGATGGCCATGGGCAGATCCAGAGTGGGTATAGTGGCACAACCACACCCCCTCTGTACACATCAGGAGTAACAGCCTGGGACTTTTTTTAAGTCCTGGAGAAGGTAAGCATTCCTCACACCTTTCCCCTCCATGCTCAGAGGCATGTCCCCTCTTTTCCCCTTCACTTCCATTCTGCTTCCCTTGCCTTTCACTGCTGCTATCTGGGCTGTCCTGGGGATAAGGGAAGGTCCTGCCCCACTCCAGATAAGCTGCCTGGGGACTGGGCTCAGCACCGGACACTGGAGGAGGCAGTGGGTGAGCAGGTACCCCATCCCTGCTTGTTTTCCCTGGATGTTCCTTGCCAGCCCTGGAACAGGCATGGGGATGAGAAACTCACTTGTTGCCACCATCCTAGACTGAGCCCAGCCCTCACACAGTGCAGCTGAAGTACGAAAGGAGCTCCCCATACCCCTGGAACAAGATGGACA